TGCACTTACTTTCTTCGATCTTATCAAAATACTTGTCCACGTCGTCGACGTTAATTTTGTTCGACCATTTTAAGGGAGATATTTTTTCAAGAGCTGGTTCGGCTGGTACAGAAATTCCTGCTTCTTTGAGAAGAGTGGATAGTAACTGAGTGCGAGACGTCAGCTGTATTACCAGTTTCTTTAAACGTGCCAATTCTTCCTCTGAAAAGTCCAAAGAATACATAGCTACTGAATAGATTTAAAACTTGAAGTTTTCTTTTCCTGATATACTGTGTGGATTTTAAAATACATACTGTGTGCCTCGGAAGCATGAGTGGAGAATAACTCCTCCGTACGACTATGGAGGTCTTTTATGTACTTTGAGGCATGGATCAGGATGTCGACCTTGTTGCGTTTGCGACCTTCCTGATGCGGCGGCAGAAGATCCGACAATGTCTTGAAATACGCATTCATACGTTTTCTTCGATCTCGCTCCCATGTTTTTGCTTTGCTGCAACGAGATTTTTAGGTAGAGAGAAAATAGAAAGACACAGTGGCTGCAACTGTTGTAAAATTCTTTAATATGATTGGTCTTACTCTTAGTTCCTCATTGGATCTAAATGTATAAACCAATCATATACAAGAATTTTGCAGTTGCAAAGCTGCTTTTTCTGCTGAACGCAGCCAGTGTGTCTTCCAACAAGCGACACAAATGACATGGTGTGACACAATGGATTCATTACATCCTTATTGTTTGCCAATGTTAAACAAAGACGAAACGATCACTATGTTACACCGTGTCGTTTGCTGGAAAGCGTCATAGAACAGGTGAGCTGAAACGTTTCCTCGCGAAAGAAGGAGAATCATCATCACGTTTTAAAATGAGAGAAGAAATTTTAGAGGAACTTAAATCGGACAACCCGTGACTAACAAGGTGGCTGTGACAGGTTAGAGAATCGAAAAATTCTAAAGACTCACGTGTTCTCCTTTCGTGGCATAATTTATCCGCTTGACATCGTTCTGCAAAGATAGCGTGCCGCGAGAAGCGCCGGTGCGTCACTTGTCACCGACATTACGCGATCGCGAGAAATGCCTTCGTATTTCCGGCATTTTCGTTCCACTAGCGAGATACAAAACACAGTGCGAGCAACTACAGCTGTGTGTCATGCAGCGGAGGGTGGGATGAGCAGGCTGCAGGAGAATGCGATTTGGGTTCGTCGCGCTATTCTGCAACAGGAATCTGATTTATCGATGGTAGCTCGGAATTCATAAAATATATTTCAGGAATATATTATATTACAAGATTTGAAATAAATTTCAGAAATTTTTCATAAAATATATCTAAAATATAAATATGTCAAAGTTTTAGAAATATTTTTTGTTACAATATATTTTTATACAATATTTCTATAATATTCTACAATAATTTAAAATGTTTTACAAAGGTTTACGAAATATTTCCGAAATATTTCATTGAAGCACCGACGAGATATTATTAAAGACCGACATCCTTATAGGAGTTCGCATCCTTGTTAATATTGAAGTGATTAAGAGTAAAAAA